TTAATATCAGGGATAAAGCGTATCAGGCCTGGAGATTGCGTTTAAACACACACACACACACACACACACACATATATATATATATATATTGGACATTGAGATCAGCACCCAACAGTGAAAAGTCAGCTTTATGTTTAAATGCAATCTTCAGGCCTAATACGCTCTATCCCTGCTATTGAGTACTTTAATCCATAAATATAGCATACCTTAAAAGTGCATTTTTATAATATCTTAAAAGGATAAGAATGCTGACCTGGACACTACCGCAGTTTCGACCGCTGAGGTCTCGTTAGGTGGTATGTTTCGGCTGAAGATAATATTTGGCCATTTGTTGGCCACTCCTCTACTAGGGCGGCTAGCCAATCCCTATTGCAGACGCTTGCTCAGGCACATTTGTGTTTATTCAACACCCACAGAGCACAACTTGTGGTTTAGACTGTAACTATGCTGAGCAGACCTTAGTTACAGTTTCTGGGAATGAGCGTGTTATTTAGCATGATCAACAATTTGAACAAGGCCAGCACGCTCAAACCCTCGACCACGATGACTTGTGACTTCGTGCTAGCACAGCTATCGACGGTACTCAGTTTCATTCACAAGGCTTGTGTCAACACGTGGTGTGGTTTCACGCACGCTGGGATCGACCCCTCCAGTCTGGTGGGATTCGAACCCGGGTCTCATGGTCAGAATGCGAACGTTCTAACACCTCGACCACGTTCCCATATATGTAGCCGGTATAATACTCACCTACAATTTTATGGAGTTTGGTGGATCAAACTTCATTGTTATTGTTTGCGATAAGTTTATTTATCTGTGTCTTGAGGATTCTGTATAAAGATAGAGATAAAATTATTGATTTCTATGCCGACACTGTTTATAACTACAGACACACTAACCCCGATTTTGAGCACATTTTATTCATAAATATAGCAAATATTAAGCAATATATAGAAATGTGTGTGTGTTTTTAAAGGACTCATCTCATTTACCAACTCCAGAGTTTCGCGTAGTAACGCTCATCAAGGTCAGAGGATCTGATAACTCTATTGATTTATTACCAGATGTCTTATTTATACTTCGCAAATCAAACGCTAATTTTAGACACCAAAATTAAAATTTGAAATACTCAGCACGCTAGAGTTCATTAACTATGTGACATTTAAATATTTAGAAGCATTTAAGATGTTTGATTTGTTTTATTTATACTTTTATTTACTTTTACTCATTTTTTTAATATAATTTTATCGTCATAAAATATGAAATAAACAGAATACATACAACAATCGCGTAATTCAGAAAATAAACATACATGCACAGGCATATATATATATTTAAATATTTTAAAAGGTGTACGGAATTTTATAATTGTGAATAAAACAAACATATTCAAACAACAGGGAAGAATAGCCAAAAGTTCACATTACCGTTGGTAATATCGAAAAGTACGTAAATTAACAACAAAAAAAAAAACAAAAACAAAAGCAAAACTGTTTAACTAGTTTTCCGTTCCTTTCTTATTAGAGCTCAATCAAAGCGACTAAAGTCAATAACACCAAGGACCTGATGAATAATAATAAATATATGAACATCAAAGGCCAATTATACATAGGCATAATAATCACTCCTTCTGCTTAAAGAGAGATGGCTGGAATGTCTTAATATAAATTGATATTAAACGCTTAATGTGAAAATCAAACTGAGCCTCACTCAGCACCAAGGAAATATATTGATTATAGAACCTGGCACATTGATAGTTATTTAATAAACGGTCAGCTATCGCCGACCCAGATGGATTAACTCACCGATGCCACTTGTCCAAATTGCTTTTCCTAATATTGACTGGTACGTGTTGATTAATCCTTTCTTACAACCTCAAGCCCGTTCTACCTATATAGTCAGCGTCATTCTGACATCAAAAATAGTAAATTAAGGAACTCATATGGTGGGTAGGTAGAACAAACTTTAGGATCGATCTTAACATTGGTTGGACAGTAAATATCATACATTGATTGGCAGACAGATAACAGCATTTCACACTAGCAGAAATTTGCTTAGCAAATCTAGCACTCACATCACAATATCTACAAATAGACGACAGGACACTTGTGGATGTTGGGGGCGTAAAGCTAATCAGCTTAGGTTTGATAGACTGACACATTTTTTCACGAATGCTTGTCTCCACAATATCAAGCGGGTGTACATTTTTACCCAAACCTTTCAAATTCTGAATTCAATTTTGTCTTTGAGAAAATTATTAGGAAACGATGGACCATGGACTTAATAACGTTTATCTTTTGCTGTCTTGGACAGAAATAATCCCAACGGATATACAGACAAGTGAACATTCTTTCGGTACACTGACGTAAGAAACAACGAATCCGACTTGTGCACGATGACATCCAAAAAGGATAGAGCACCATTGTTCTGTATTTCACACGTAAATTTCAAAGATGGGTGTAATTCACTTAGTACTTGAGGAAATAACCTCAATCTCACTCTCAAACACAGAAAGTTCCGTCGTCATATTGAAAATAACAGTTGGGTCTTTTAAGACGAGCAAAATGCCAACAAGCATATTGGCCATTGTCGGGCTCAATGGAATACCCATGGAGATCTCATTTATTTGCCTATACATAATCATATCAAAACTGAATTCCATTAACATGTGCCATTTGACATCGGCAGTCTATTTACCTGTGTTCATTTCCAAGTGGACATTGACATTTCCGTTGACGCTTTGTATCATAGTCATTTGTCCCTTACCCTCTCATATTCCGGAAGCTGTCTTTATTGATTTGATGAAATTTGCTGCCAGTATGACTGAAGTATTAAAGTTTTTGATATTTTATAAGTACAGGATACGGCAGAAATATCTTTTACATAATGATAAGACTTTAGTTGCTATGTTGTCTTCATCTAGCTAATGTCTTAAGATATGGGAGGTATTTCTGCCGCATTCTGTACAATGCAATTAGGATTGGGCTGGGTTTATTTTGTTTGACGGCATATCAACCTCAATGGGTTATTTGATGCCGACAAGATTTTCACAGTAGATTCGTTTGTTTAGTGGCATATCAACTCCTTATGGGTCATTTAATGTCGAAATTTAATTTTCTTGGGAGTATTAGTAATTTCTTTTAAAAAAATGTTAAGCAATGTCTAGTCTGGTCAGTACCTAGATGGGTGACCGTTTGATGACAATATAAAACTGCCTAAGAATGAGGATTTTGAGCTTGTTTAGCGGCATATCAACTCCTTATGGATCATTTAATGCTGAAATTTAATATTCTAGGGAGTATTAGTAATTTCTTTTACAAAAATGTTAAGCAATGTCTAGTCTGGTCACTACCGAGATGGGTGACCGCTAGATGGCAATATGACACTGCCTAAGAATGAGGATTTTGAATTCGTTTGTTTAGCGGCATATCAACTCCTTATGGGTCATTTAATATCGAAATTTAATTTTCTTGGGAGCATTAGTAATTTCTTTTTCAAAAATGTATTGCTCGTAATATTTTTTTTTTCCAAAATGTATTGTTGGTAATATTTTTACTATAAAAATCCATTTCTGTACTTTCATAGTGTTTTGACTCCAATTTGGCATTAACTGTTTGCCCGTAGCTGTGACCCTAACAGGTTCTACCAACCCGGGTTAGAGTAAACCTGGGAACAACAGCAATTAAGAAATTGTCCCACGCTCCTCAAAACCTCCCGATCAGAAGCGTTGCTGCCGGATGTAGTTTATCGTCGTACCCAGGGACGATGCAATTCGGAAAATACCACCCAGACATAGATGCTAAAAAATAATTGAAGACATAAATAGATTATGGCATTTTACATGTCAAATTTAGAATAAAATAAAATTATATTTTTCCTACGTCATCAGAGATGAGCGATCTATTTATTGATCGTCACTATTTTTTTTAGATCTTTTATTCACCATTGAATAATTATGGAGTTTTATCTATCATAAAGTAAAATTCTGTTTCAATTACGTTACCAGAAGAATTCATTGCATACTAATGGGACATTCGCTTTATCGAAATAATAAAACGACTTAACTTGAATTTTTTCAGCAGTAGCAGCAAAAACAATAAAGAACAGCACATGTAACTATAATAGAAAAATGATATAATCAAGCTGTTAGCTTTCCATAATATCAGAAACAAAAGGTTTGAAAGGAAACACCCATCAATATTAGAAAGAGCTATAACATTTAGTGGATTTAAGAAGTTAAATTTCCCAAGAAAGCTATTTTACTAACAACGATTGTATAGATTTCAACCAATAGTCACACTAACTGTTCAGTCAATGTGGAATATTTTCTGTACTGAAACACCTAATTTTAATTCGCATTGTTATTACCATTAAACTAGCGTAGACATAGGTCCAGTTTATATCTGATTGATTCGTTTTTACGGTTTATCAACCTTTTGCAAGTTATTTAAGGCCAGAAAATATTTTTTTAGAGTGTAAGAATTTTGGGGGAGATAATAATGATTTATTGATACATCCTACTAATTAACCTATACCCGAAGAAGAGAATATGTGTATTCCTATTTCTTCCAAGAGTATTTTTGCGTTAGTGAATAGAATGAATCCGACTGGAATTGGAACTTCAGAGTCTGTCTATATTTCTGAGATGAAGTATTATGTACATTATTTACATTATTCGGACTATTGTCCTCATCTTTGTCGCCATATTTATCACAACGTTTCGGCCGTTGTACGCTCCGGCCTTCTTCAGGTGGTTGGAATGTCGAACTGAACCCTTTATTTCGCTCACTGTTCTAGTTCCACATGCCATGTTTGATGGATGTCAGTTATCAGTTATCTCCTGCTAATTTCCCTCTGAAAGTTCTCCACTGTCTTAACCAGGTATTGAACTCACACTCTTTGGGTCCTCTCACTGGATCTAACCAACGCCTTTATCCACTGTGCCATGTGTCCTTATGAACTTATCTCTCCGATTTCCAATTCTCACCCACACATTCAAATTTCCAGTACCTGTTATTCCCAAGCGGTCACCCATCTAGGTTCTGACCAGGTTCGACGTTGCTTAACTTCAGTGATCGTACGAGAGCCTGTGTTTCAACAGGATATGGCTGTAATCCGAATCAGACAGGAAAGAAGGAAACAAATATGTTTCAATGTTTCTGTAGCCTCTCAGCCAACAATCTTTATACTTCGTGGTCAACGTCCACAACATTATACGAATGCCAGTATTTATCTGGCCTCTTCAATAATGCAGGAGATTAATACAGCTGGCGTACTCTAAGCTCTATAGATTAATTGTCACATTTGTTCTACAACTTTTCATACATACAACTGCATAATAGCAAGGTGGTAGGAGAATGATGTCAGCAGTGGCAGTGATCATAATTATTTATTCATTTAACAAGCATATTTCTTGAAAACTTCTGTTGCTTGGTATTATGACATCCTTATGCTAAGCAGATTATTAAGATATATAAAAACTTCGTTATAAACAAAGTAAAGAGTACTGAACTGTTACATGATAGCTGTCCTACTGTATGGCATCAAATTCTGGACAATGTCAAGGATGAAAAGACTGAAAGCAATAGAGATGTGGTTCTACAGAATACTGAGGATACCATGGACCGAACATATAAGCAACGATGAGGTTTTAGAGAAAATAGAAATAAAAAATAAACTTATAACATCAGGAAGAGACAGTTGAAATTTCTGGGCTACGTAATAAGGAAAGAGGGCTTGGAAAATCTGATACTCACAGGATGGATTGAGGGAAAGAAAGATGAAAGCAAGGCATAACATACTTGACAAGCTTGAGAAAATGGAGGGCGGAACAGGGTTTAGGAGAAATAGCAAAAAGACATGATGTATTTAAGAATAGGAAACTGAGGAGAACCATGATCGCCTACGTCCTGAGGGGACACGACACATAAAGAGAAAGATTCTTTGTTGGGTTATTTAGTGTCAACTTTTGTATGGGGCACCCAGTAAGAATCAAACTCAGTACCCAACCAGACCAACCCCCATTAACCCTTACCTCACGTCAAGACAACTGTACCGTGAAATATTGTCACGGTATAAATATGTGTGTGTGCGTGTATGTGTAAGTCATAATGGTACAGCGTTCGTATTTTCACACTAAATAAGCTGCACAAATAGTTGAATAGAAACATTGAAATAAAGTTTCATATTTGTGTTAGAAAAGTGAATTTATCAATGACGACAAACCTGACTACAGGTATTTAGTAAGCTCACTTTTGTACAGCACAAAACCTATTGTGAGAGATAAGACTGTATTTCTCCAGTCTATCTAGTTGGGTGGGCCTACTTGCTTTGAAAATCATAATTTGAAATCTTATATTTTTCCTGTGTTCGAACCCTGGCTATTAGTGTCGGGGATAAATAAGCAACTAAGTCACTAAGCAACTCCTGACCATGCATAAAACATGTTCATATCGTTCTCCCTGTAAAAAAAAAAAAAGTGTTATGAAATTGACTGATTAATGTCGAGTCTCTTGTGCTTGCCATCTTCGCAAACTTATTTGACGCATCATCATCTTTTCTAAAATGATACCTGTTATATCCATCACTGGCATTCTTGCAGAGCATTTATTTCGGTTCTTTTATATCTACAACAAAAGCTGTCTCTTGATGGAAAGTCCATGAACTGATTCCTTACAAGCTGATGTCAAATAGAACTGACCAGAGCGTTAACTTAATGCAGATATCAAAAGCTTGTCTGACCACAAAACAAAAATCTCGCTGTCCGTACCCGCAGTCTCCATTATCAGGAAAGTTCTTCTGGGCGGTAAAAAGCCGAGTAAGGATTTTGCGTTGGCGGAAGAATATGGTCTTTCAGAAAATGACAAACAACAGAAAAAGAGAGAGAGAGAGAGAGAGAGAGAGACTTTGCAGAACAAGTGAGGTTTCAGCTCTGATTCTGTCATTTGTAGAAGTGGCATGGCAAATCAAAAGTAACTGACAAAGAACCTTGATTTATATATATGGGCAGAATGGACAAGCGAAAGCATTTTCTAGAGGGACAAGTGTAACGATTCCAAAATGGCTACGAGACAGACAGGCAACCAGATGGACACTGACAGAATCTGATATATAGATTGATAAAGATAGGCGTACAAAGATAGGTATCTTAGTATAATGGAGAAAGCGCCGGGATTCAATTTGGATATTAAGACAAATCAAGCAGTTGAACATTCACGAAACTCGACCGTCGTATACGAATGCTTCACAAAACTTAGATATCTGCCGATTATTTTAGCAATTTCCAACATTTGCAAGTTCGGAACTTATTAAGCATTTCTTTTTATCCATCAAACCAACTTTACGAGCTATTTTAAGATTCTAACGTAGCTTTGAATTTGAGAACATTTCATGCAAATGGCTGCCGATATTTTACGTCTTCGCCAAACGAACTGACATATGTCTTAAATGCGTTAATAGATGTTACCCTCATTCAGCAAATAACATTTGAAATTTCAGTAAATATTTATTTTGAATTTTGATAAAACGCGGTAAGTTACGAATAATGTGGGATGCTGTGGAGAAGTGATGGAAGAGTGAATATTTCTGGGCTCAACACACTTACCTGAACAATATCTGATAATATAACACCAGGACACTTTCTGGTATTCCCTTTTTGGTCGGAACTAGAACATTTCAGCACGTTCTTATATATATATGTGTGTGTGTGCGCGCGTGTATATATATATATATATATGTATATGTGCACAAATTTGTGTAACGATTGATAAATGCTTAGGAACCTCTCCCCTCCTCACTTTCTCCGTCTCGCAATATACATAATAAAATATATTTTTAAGGTATTCTATATTTATGTGTTAAAGTGTTTAATATCAGGGGTAGAGCATATATAAATATAAAAGTGGCAACGATATACATATATATATATATATATATATATATAATATAGTTGGCCACTCGTATTCGAGGATACCTGACTACTAGGGTGGCTAGCTAATCCCTATTGCAGACGCTCGCTCTGGGCTAAAGCATATATATATATATATATATATATATATATATATATATATATATATATAAAGCCTGTGTTCGAATGTCACCAGGCTCGATTTATCAGAAAGGAGACTTCCTGATGTTATCGGACTAGAGCGGGTCGATCCCAGCGTGGTGCACCTTTGAAAAATGCTTGAAAACCATACCACGAGTTGACCCAAGTCTTGTGAGTGAAATTGGGTAGACGGAACACTTGGGGGACCGTCGAGAGCTGTGCTAGCACAACGTCACAAGTCATCATGGCCGAGGACTTGAGCGTGCTGGACTTGTTCAAATTGTTGATCACGCTAGGTAACACGCTCTTTCCTAGAAACTGTAACTGAGGTCTGCTCAGCAGAGTTGCAGTATAAACCACAGGTGGGCTCTGTGGGTGTTGAATAAACACAAATACGCCTGAGTGAGCATCTGCAATAGGGATTGGCTAGCCGCACTAGTAGACAGGTATCTTCGAATACGAGTGGCCAGCTATATATATATATATATATATATATATATATAATACTAATAATCGTATAAATATAAGCAGCTATACTCGTCCGGCGAAACCTTAGGTGTTTTAGCATGTAAATGAACAAACCAATACCCAACGGGAAAAAAGGGTAAAAAAAAGAAAGAACTAAGAACATGTACTTCTGGCGAAAATAATCGCCCATAATTTAAGTTCAGAGTCCAAAGAAAAAAACTCCGACACGAGTAAAGTAAAATAACTAAGCAAAGTGCTCAATACGCTAAGTCGATCAAACTAAGTAAACCTAAAGAGCCAGGCAGAGTTTGTCTGGCTCTTTAGGTTTAATCATTGAGCGTGAACGCAATCGTCGCCGCTGATGTTGACTTCAATGTCTACTTTTATATTTACATATGCTTTATCCCTGACATTGAGCACTTTAGCCTATAAATATAAAATAACTTTAAAATATTTCATCATATATAAGAGAAGTTTAAACAAAAGACTATATAAACACAAAAAGAGACATTTTAAATAAACAAAGCACAAAACGCATTGTTTGTTCACCGTAACGAAACTGACTATAATTCTGACATAAAAATGCTTTTCTAATTAAAAGAGAAAATAATTCACTAAGAAGAAAATGCCTAGAAAGTGCTTTAATCGCTAGTTCAGACACTGTAAATTTACGCCTAGGTTCTTAGAACGCTTCACCATTCTTGGGAGATTTTCTGTTATCACAATGTGGGATATTTAATAAAAATGATGGCAAGAGAAAGAATATAGATGAATTTGGCTAGATTGCAAAAATTATTTTAAAAAATTCTTTCAAAAAATTTTGAAACTACCAGGGCCTCTTGTTCATGCGCATGTGCAGTCATAACAACGTCAGACAAACTCGATTCGATGAAGTCTAAACGAATGAAACGCGTCAGAAATAAACTTTTTCCATTTTGCCTTACAGCTTCTTCCATACTTTCTTGATATATAAAAATATATATAATTATTTTATATATATATATATATATATATATATATATATATATATTATAATAAACTGCATGCAAGTTACTACTACAAAATTACATATTTTGTTTCGACGTTTAATACGTATCATCAGGTATGCAATTTTGCATGTTCTAATGTAACAATTTATAATAAATATTTATTGCTCTACTCATGTATTGAGCCCTTTTTAAATTAATGTTATGAACGTTTGAATTTTATTCTTTTCGTTCTTTTACATATATATATATATATATATATACTTTTAATGTTTTAAACAGCAAGTTTCTTTATTACATGCGACAATATAGTTAAATTTACGATTAAAAACTTTACATTACCCGTGCATAAAATTTGACCAATACAATTTTTTTAATCATTTCACCCCATCCAAGGCAGTAAAGACACAAGGGGTTAGTGAATATGAAAGAATAAAAAAAAAAAAGAGAGAAACATTAATGGGCGAGAACAACAGAAACATAATCAAGAAGATAGTAGATAACGATTGACATTGCAGTTGGGTGGAAATCATGGAGCCGGAAGAGAGTTCCACAACTGTGAAGCACGAGAAAAGAAACACTTATCATAGAACTTACAGTTACATCTAACC